AAAGAACTTGGCCTTTCAGCATGAGGTCCAGAAGCCCTGATGACTTTCTGTCTCCCCAACCTCTTGTCCCATGCACTGCCCTCCTCACTCAGGGCATGCTCAGAACAGGCTGGAAGTGGAGGTGGGGGTGGGGGGATATTCTTCCGTGCCAAGGGGAATCCTAGGGGAGGGGAGGTCTTCAGAGATCATCTAAAACAACATTTTCAACCAGAGACGAACATCTGTCAACATCCAGAGGTATTCTTAGATGTCAAAGAAGACACAAAGCCCAGTACGGCGGCACGTTTTTAATCCCAGCACTTGGAAGGCAAGGTCAAGGCTAACCTTAAAAAAATTACTCTTAGATGATGGGATGGCTTTGAGACTCTAACAAAAGGGGCCTGGAGATGATGGGATGGTATTGCTGTATAGAGGCCAAGGACATTGCCAAATATCTGCCAAGGTATAGAACAGTCCCCACTCTTCTCCACCCTGTATGGCAGTGGTGCTGAAGGTAAGGCCCCTGATAGAATCTAAGCTGACTCTTGCAGATGAGGAAACTGAGGCTCAGGAAGAGATGGAGCCAAACTCACACAGCCAGTTGGACAACATCAGAACCAGTAACCAAGGGGGCTGCCCACCGGCCACACCAGCATTCACCTTCTGGGAATGAAACCACCAAGGTCAAGTCCAGTGCAGGCTGGTGGAACAGTTGGGCTGGATGTGGGGCTCTGAGATCTAGAAACCACGTGGTTGATCTCTGTGTTTCTGACAGGCTTCCAAAGAATTTGCCAAGGTCACCCCAACCACCTTGGCCACAGGGATGCCAATTAACCAAAGGAAAGACTGTCTTAAGGGGAAAATTGCCCTGCCAAAGGCTTAGGCCACACTCCCTCCTCAGATCCCCACAGTCCAGAGCCTGCTGGGAGTGATCCTGGCCTGGTGTCATGGTCAGAAAGTAGGACAAGGTAAAACCTGGCTGAGAGGACGGAGGGCAGTGATGAGAACAGAACCCTGGCCCACCACTTCCGAGAGCACTAATTCTTTCTCCAAGTACAAGAAACAATAGCCTCTCTCACATGTGATGACCCCTCTGCTGGCTGACACAATTTCATAACAATGCCCAGGGTCATCCCTGTCTCTCTCCTCAACACTATGTCTCCAAGTGAGGGCCAGACAGCAGGCATCAGAGCTGACGGTGCTGCCCCATTATTTATGAACAACTGACTCATAACATGTTGCAACAGGAGTACTTTTCCATCCACTGTGGCTGCAAGCCACTGAACTTGTAGGAAAAGGCCAGGGTGCAAGAACGCATGAAGCTGTGTCTCCAGCATTGGCCATGGCCTTACTGTCTCTTGGAGAAGGGAATCCACAGAGGGTGGCTGGGGACAAGGATGGCAGAGAGGTATGGAGGTCTTAGAAGACCTCAGACACAGGAGAAGACCCGCTCCTGACTCATTTCTTCAGGTCGCGCCTTACAGCTGCTCCCTCGCCTACCACACCCATTCCTTCCCAATTATCCCAACAAGCTGGGAAACTACACATTCTTCAAAGCCTGACTTCCAGAGTCCCTGCCCTAACTCCAAGGTTCAGCAGGTACAGTCCAGCTCTGACAATGGACAAAGATGTTAGGGGTTAAAGGCAGGACTGGGGCAGAAAGGCAAAGGTCCTGGTGGGTGTATCACCAGGCATGCATCAGAAATTCTTCTTTTGTGAGGGTGCGGGACTCCCCTGCCTCCAGGATCCTGTCCCTGGGGAGTTCCACACCCTCAAAGAGGAAGAATCTCTGGTACATGCCCCGTGATAGGCATACTGGGGGTTTTGCATTTTTGCCTCATTCCTAGGGGAGGCCTAAGAGCTCACTCCAGCCTCAGGTTGCACGTCTCAAACTGGTTGGCTACCCCTAGCTCAGCCTCCACTCCTCCAGAGGAAGCCATTTTTTTGTTCAGGTTTCCTGCACCTGGAGGAACTTCAAAAGGCTGCCTGGTGAGGGTGCTATGCTCACCAAGCACTGACAGAAGGCCTGGCTCCCTTGAGAAAGGGTCTTTAGTACTGGGAACTCCTCTTCCTGGGACTCTCCCATTGCCCCTTACAGTGGTCATCAGCTCTAGGCGATTCTGGAGGCAGCAGGCCTGAAGAGTCTTGCCTAGGGCCTCTTACACACTCTAGCCACTTGGAGCAGGGGACAGGAACCCAGCTTTGAGTAACCAGAGTCTAATCAGGATCAGCTCCAGCACTGCCTCCTCCCCCCTGGGCCTCGGTCTCCCAATCTGGACACTGAAGAAAGGACAGGAAAGGGATCCACTCACTCAATTCTTATTAACTGAGCGCCTGCCCTGCATCAGGCACTGCCCTGATCCCAGGAGCAGAGCAGTGAGCGAGACAGGAGGCCCTGTCCACGGGACAGGGGGCGGATGACAGGCAAGATCAGAAAGGAAATCTATCAGATGTGAAGAGGCAGAGAAGGCACCAAGAGACTGGAGGGACATCATCCCCATAGGCTCTGGGGACCCTGCTTCGTTCTGAGGCCAAAGGCAGAAACCCAAGAATAATAAGTTGGTGGGGGGGAGGGAAGGTGTCACAGGGTTTTGGGAAAGGCCCTCCAAATCCTGGTTGAGAGGAGATTTTCCTTTAGAACAGGGATATTAACTTCAGGGCACTGCTGTGGAGTCTGGACAGCCCTCCTCTGTCTTCCCCACATGGCCCTAGCCTTAGGTGCACAAGGCATTGGTCACCTCTACCTGCCTGGGCTCTGGGAGCTCTCCTTCCTCCCTCCTCTTCTGGTCCTCTCCTGTATGACAGGGTGCCCCCTCTCCTTACATGGTGAAGAAGGGAGGGGAAAGGGTTCAAGGCCTACCAGTTCTCATGAATTTCAGCAGTTTCTCTTCCTGTAGAGATTATTTTTTATCAATAAATACTTCTTGCAAAGCTACTGTGTGCTCAGGGTGAGGCTTACTCTCTGGGGGGACAACAAAATGTATGGTCACAGTTCAAAGGGAGCATGTAGCCCATTTAGAAGGGCCAAGTTCACACACACACACACACACATACACATACATACGCACATACACACACATACATACGCACACACATACACACACACATACACATACATACACACACATACACACACACACACACACACACACCAGGAAATAGCTCATCTGTTGGGTTTGTCTTGCAACATATATTTGCCTTCAGAGTGCTCACATGCTTATTAAACCAGCAGATTCTATTGCCTTCATTTCTTACCAGGGGAAACTGAGGCAAGAAATGCAACTTCCTTCCCCAACATCTGACAACCCCATGACGTGGTTAAATGTGGATAAAGAAAGAGAAGAGGCAATGAGGGTTGTTTTCAACAGTGAGATTTCCAGAAGGATGAGGAAGAATTTCACTAGATGGGACACAGTCCCTCCTCCTTCAGCCCAGGAGGGAGACACACTGGCCATTTCCCTCAGCACCCCTGCTTTTCCTTAGCCCCACAAGAAGTGGATTGAGGATTATGGTTGTATTTGCTAGGTTAAAAACGAAGTTGCCCTAAGTGGGGGCAGGAAGTGATGGTGTCCCAGGAGAGGGTCTGCTTTCTGGTCCTATGTTTTAATGTCCTTTCTGCTCTCCAAGGACAGAGACTTGTCTTCTGGAAAAGAACTACCCTGTTTCTGGTCAACTCACACCGTTCTGATGAAGCACCTTCTCCATGCCAGGTGCTATGGAGACAGATGGGAACAATGCAGGTCCTGCCTCCAGCAGTCCTGGGAGCTTAGCAAGGGGCTGGCTGACTTTTGGCAGAGTTTCCTAAGGGGATTTGATTTCTGTTTGGAGGTGCCCTTGCCTTGCACACTCAGCCCTCCCCTCCCCCAGGAGAAACAAGCCCCTGCTGATCAAGGGCACAGAAAGAATACAGAAGCAGGTGGTGAGATGGCTCAGTGGATAAAGACACTTGCTGCTAAGCTTCACCAACGACCTGAGCTCAATCCCTGGGTCCCACATGGTGAAAGGAGAGAACAAACTCCAGTAAGTTGTCTTCTAACCTCTACACACACTCACAAGCTGTGGTACCTGAGCCCCGCCCCCCATAAATAAATAAACGAATTAATTTTTTAAATGCAGAAACACCAGGTCTAAGAGGCGGTGGTGGGAGCCCACCACACAGTGGTGAACAACAGTCCAGCACTTGAGCAAAATACTTAACTTCGTTGGGTCTCCCCTTTCTCACCTGTCTCCTGGCTGTTTTGTCCTGGGGGTAAAGTGAAGATAGGTTGACCATGTTAGCCAGCTCCTCTGGGATCCACCCCCCAACCCAATCTCTTCTCTTTGGCTCTGGAGTAAGGGGTCACATTCCCCTGTCCACCGGGAGCTGAGCCCTCATAGGCCAAAGCAGGAGAAAATTCATTCTGTGCACATCCACACTGCTCTGGTGCCCTGCCCCTGCAGGCTGTGGCCCACCTCAATGCGTAAGTTCAATAGACTGGGGCTTGGGGAATGCTGGGATGGAGGTCAGATCAGACCAAATGGAAGAAGGCAGAAGAGGAAGTTAGTTCTCTGTGGTTGGGCGCCCACTTTAACAGGGTACAGACCGCCTTCCCTGGGCACAAGGCTGCGCCTTCCTCTCACCCTATTTGGCTAGTCTGGTCTCAGCGCGTGTCTGGTGGGAGGAAGCGAGAAGCACACACACAAACATTCTGAAGGCTTAAGAAATCACCAACTGTCAGTTCCCATCTCAGTACTTTTTTTAAAAAAAGGGATGGCGAGCCAGCGTGGGAAGGGTGCTTGCTCCACTGTCCTGAGTAAGAGAAAAACGGAGAAGGCTAACTGGATGTGAGTGACAGCCAAAAGGCACAGCCAGCAGCCACCCGGAGTTCTCGCGCGCTCCGGCACAAGCCGGTGCACCTCCCGCCAGGCGCAAACTTTCCAAGATCCACCTCCAAGCAGCACCCTGAGAGGCGCCTGAAACGGAGGTCGCGGCTGAGGGGAACACGCGGACGACCCTGGAAGGGCGTCTTGCCCTTGGTTACCTGGGTTCCGAGGCTCACGGGCGTCTTGTGGACCAGGTGCAGGGGGACTCAAGGGCCACTCCTCCCCAGCCAGCGCGGGGCCCCCAGGCTCTAGGGAACTGCACCTGGAGCACCGGGTGGAGCGCGCTCCCGTGCGGGTCTCCGCCCAGACTGTCCGGGGGCGGGGCAGGGCAGGGCGGCCCAGGGAGGAGCCGAATGCGATGGGGTCCCCCCACCAGCTCTCCAGCTGTGCCTGACCTCCTGCCTGGGACACTGCACACCGTCACCTCCCAAAACCCTGCGTCCCTCCAACCTCAGGTGCCACCCAGCTGGACGCAGAGGCGCACCCGCCCTGTCGCACCCTGTATGGTCAAGTGGGTACTCCACAGTGCCCCTACTCTTAGGAGCTGAGGTCTGGGAATCCAGAGGCCACTTCGAGGCCAGGACCTCGCTGGGAAACTGCCCTTCAGAAAAATGCACCTGGTGGAGCTCTCAGAAGGACAGGAAACGACAGGGGCAATGTCCCCACCCCACAGCACCCTCTGTCCTGGTGAGAAATCCCTGGCTGATCAAAGCCCTTTGCCATCTCTCCCCTGTCAGCCCGCTACTCTTCACCCTGGGCTCCGAGTCCCAAGTTACAGGCTCCCAAACTGTAAGGTGCTGGGACTGACCCTGACAGCTAGTGGTCACAGAGATGAAATGAAAGGACACAGGTCAAAGAAACCTGGCTCCAGGGACCAGGACCTTGGGTATTCCCAGTGCTAAATACCCAGCACCTGGTCTCCTCCTCCTCCTCCCACCCTACTGGGAAGTCCATGCCCTGAATGAATCTGGAAGGCTCCAGTGGGTGGTGGGCAGACACCTTGGTCCTCCCTCCCATTGCTTCCCTTCAGCTCCCGGCCCTGCGGTTGTTGACAAGCATGGACACTGGGACCAGCACAAGACAGGGAATCAGACACCAGTGAACTCTTACCTTGAGAAAGGCTCTGGCCCTTCTGAGCCTTCTCCATTTAAAGTCAATAAGTTGGAGTATATTACTTTCTTTCCTTTTTTATAGAGCCTGGATCATGATTGGGCACATTGCTTTATTAGTTTTGTTATTGTTTTCTTTTGTTTCATGACTGTATGTTGTGTATTTGTTTTCTCAGATCTAATTTCATGTGTGCAGGTGTGTGTGTGTGTGTGTGTGTGTGTGTGTGTGTGTGTGTCTAAAGAAGTCGAATGACAACTTTGGGTGAAATTCCTTTTTATCTTGAGACAGTATCTTTCACTGGTCTGGAACTCATCAGTTTGGCTAGGCTGGCTGGCCATTGAGCCCCAAGTATCCATCTGCCTCTGTCTCCCCAGTGCTGGGATTATAAGCATGAGCCATTATATCTAGATATTTACTTACTTATTATTTATTTATTTATTTATTTAAACATAGATTCTGGGGGTTGAATTCAGATCATCATGCTTTGCACGGCAAGTGCTTCACTGACTGGACTATCTCTCCAACCCCTCAGATCTGTTTAAAGGGACAGTGACCAAGGCCATACAGGCAGTTAACCAGCCTTTGCAAACCAGAGTTTGACAAGGACAGTGGAATTCTTCAGCTCCATGCTGATTCAGAGTGGCCTTGGGTGAGTTCACTAGATAGAGATTCAGTTGCCTACTTTGTCATCTCAAGGCTGTTAGGGGTGCTCAGTGAGACTGGATCCCTTTGAGAGAAGAGAGTCCTATTCATTTTCTCTCTCTTTCTCTCTCTCTCAATAATTAAAGTTATTTACTTTTATTTTATGTTATGAGTGTTTTGCCTGCATGTATGTAAGTGTACCATGTGCATGCAATGCCCACAGAGGTCAGAAGAGGGTGTCAGGTCCTCTGGAACTGGAGTTACAGATGGTTGTTAACTGCCATGTGGGTGCTGAGAACTGAACCTGGATCCTCTGCAAAAGCAACCATTGCTTTTGACTGCTGAGCCATGTTTCCAGTCCCTTTCTTTCCTAAGAAAAAGAGGTTTATTTATTGCAATGTAAAGAGAGCAGCAGGCATGGCAGGAACAGAAGCACCAAGCCCTGTGTGCTTTCTGATACCATATTTTGACTTATGGCACAGGGATGGGCTCTACTGAGAGAAGAAGGCATGTGGCATTCTCCGGCAGACTTGGTTGCACTCTCTGTAGAGGCTGCAGAATCCATAGTGTGGGCATTCACTCCACTACCAGGAACCATGGTAAACAGAGATGCCTAATGCCCATCTGGAGCCCTGCCCACTGCAGTCATCTCTCTGTGCACCTTGGGAAAACTCAAGAGGGGAGAGGAGGACCCCAAGCTAAAAGGGAGTGGGCCTTGGCTTATTGATTAATTGATCAGCATGTCTTGGCTAATAAGTCTTGCAGGTGGATGCCAGAGAAGCCCATTTATGCTCTCAGGGAGCGCAGAGTCTAGCCAGATGGTTAAGTACCGTGTGGAGCAGGGAGACAGGGATGATGAGCACACAGGGAAGAAGTCAGGAGACCAGGGTGGACAACATAAAGAAGAAATTGGAGAGTTCTGGGTTCAACTTATAGGGTTTTTTTGTTTGTTTTTGTTTGTTTGTTTTTTGTTTTTTGGTCTTTTTGAGACAGGGCCTCCCTGTAGCCCCAGCTGGCCTGGAACTTGCTATGGAGACTAGGCTGGCCAAACTCACAGAGATCCACCTGCCTCTGCCTCCCAAATGCTGGGATTAAGGTGTGCACCACCACAGTCGGCGTATCTACCTTTCTATGGGCTTGCCAGCTCTTTTAGACTGACCCAGACTGTTGCTGTTGTGTCTGTTCCAAAGGCTTTATCTGGCCTGGTAAGATGGCTCAGCAGGTAAAACATCTTTCTAAGCAAGCCTGACAACCTCCAGAACCCACAGTGGAGGGAAAGAACTGACTCCTGAAAGTTGTCCTTTGATCTCCACATTCCTCCAAGGCACTTGAGTACCTGCCTGCCTACACACACACACACACACACACACACACACACACACACACAAATTAAAATTATTAAAAATTAAAAATTAGGGGCTAGAGAGATAGTTCAGTAGTTAAGAGCACTGGCTGTTTTTGCAGAGAACTGAATTCAGTTCCTAGCACCTACATGGTGACTAATAACCATCTATAACCAGTTCTGGGGGACCCAGAGCCCCTTTCTGGCCTCCATGGGTAATGCACAACACAGGTGCACTTACATGCAGGCAATTCACTCATACATATAAAATAATAAATGGATCCTAATTATTTTAAATTAAAGAAAAAGCATCATCTAACCCTGACATGGTAACATGTACCTGTGATTCCAATACTCGGGCTGCATAGTGAGGCCTTTTCTCAGAAGGGAAAAAGGGCCTGTGCGGTGACATTTGCCTTTAATCCCATCCCTCAGGAGGCAGAGGCAGGCAGATCTCTGTCAGACTGAGGCCACTCTGGTCTATGTAGCAAGTCCCAGGCCAGCTGTGGCTACAGGGAGACCCTGTCTCAAAAAAATAAAAGGGAGAGAGAAAGGGAGGAAAGAAGGAAGGAAGGGAGGGAACCAAGGAGGGAGGGAAGAAAAGGGGTGGGAAGAGAAAAAAGGAAGAAAAGAGGGAGGAGGAGGAGAGGAAGAAGGAAAGGAAGGAGAGAGTGAAGAAGGAAGGAAGAAATAAATAGGGGAAGGGAAGAGCAGGGGAGGGGAACAGTCCCTTCTCATCTCTTCCAGCTTTTGGTTTGGTCCTGGGCTTTTCTGGGCTTGCAGCCAGTCCTCACATAGCCTTCCCAATGTGTCTCTGTGTCTCTCTTCTCTGTACACCACTCCTTGGGTCAGGGCAGCCCCAACTCCATGGCATCTGCCGGCTCCTTTCCCACCTTGGTCACTGTCACCGGCAGTGGAAATAAAGACGTACGGTACACGTTTCCTTTCACAGCAGCACCTGTTGATCCACAGAGACAGGTTGCTTTTCCATTCCTGCCCGAACAGAGCCTTCTGCAGCCGCTGCTCCTTCTTGGTGCTGTGGAGGAAAAAAGGCTGCAGCTATTTGGAGACTTTTCTGGGGTGGGGTTGCAACTGGGGGGCTCACCTCCTTTTGACTTGCTTGCTTTTCTCCTCACAGCGTGACCTTGGCTGTTTGAACAACACCCATTGCACTCTCAGTTAATCCTCCCTGTGTCCCAGCCCCTTTTCAGATGTCCAGGCCCTGGCAGCCCCTTGCCACAGAGTGGTGTGTTTGGGTTCTGTTTAGAGAGCATAGGCCCCCCTGGGGCAGGGGGACACAGTGACTGGTAGTCTCTCCCCCATGGATCAGGTCCTCACAGCAGCTTCAAGGGAGTTACAGTATAAAAGGCTGGCCCTTGAAAAGAGGAGGAAGAGGAGGAGGAAGAAGAGGAGAAGGAAGAGGAGGAAGGGGAGGAGGAGGAAGAGGAGGAGGAGGAGGAGGAGGAGGAGGAGGAGGAGAAAGTGTCCCTGTGAAAAGAAGGGTGAACCTCCTCTTGCTCAGGCGTCTGCCTCCCTAGGGAGAGTCCACAAGGACGCATCTTCTAAGGCACCAAAGGTAGATCCAGGCCTGCTTTATGTCCAAGGGGGTCCTAGGCCCAGTGTCTATCAAAATCATAGTGTAGAGGCTAGGGAGATGGCTCAATGGGTAAAGTACTTGCTGGGCAAACATAAGGATCAGAACCCATGTAAAAACTAGAAGGGCTCATAGGCCTGTCTGTAATCCTGGCACTTAGGAGGCAGAGACAGGGAGTCTTCGGAGCTAAATGACTAGCTAGGTTGACTGATGGGTGAGCTCTGTGTTCAACTGCAATTCCCTACCTCAATGAGTAAAGAGAAGAATGATTGATAAAGTACCCAGAGTCAACTTGGGGCCTTTTATATGCATATTCACACATGCATCCATAAACACACTCATACACCTACATCATACACACATACATATGAAAAAAACAACCAAACCAACAACAATAACCAATCAGAGCATCCAGAAGGGCCTCTAGAGCCATCTGAACTAAACAAAAAAGATACGACAAGAATAGCAGGAAAGGGTTTTGTGGAAAGACCTCGTGAGGGCTGACCCTGTCCTGGGGCATCTACACACACACACA